AAAAATATTCTCTTATGTCGATGACATTATTGTGACAGGTTCTACGTTTGAGGAACATATTGAATTACTAGAAAAAGTTAGCATCAAACTTAAAGAAGCTAATCTTACAATAAATTTAGAAAAGTGTGAGTTTTTCAAGACTGAACTGAAGTTTTTAGGATTTATAGTTGGGTCAAATTCCTTGCGCACTGATCCTGAAAAGGTATCATGTATGGTCAATTATCCTCGTCCACGTACCGCAACTGAAATCAAAAGATTTATTGGTCTCTGCTCCTGGTACCGGCGTTTCATTAAACATTTTTCAACATTAGTTTCTCCCATAAATGATCTTTTAAAGGGAAAGAAAAAGAGCCAGCCCATCACTTGGAATGATGCTGCTGAAGCCTCATTTATTAAAATTAAGGAATTGTTAATTTCCAGTCCAATTCTTTCTCAACCGGATTTTACTAAGAAATTCACTATACAGAGCGATGCCTCGAACACCGGGTTAGGAGGAGTTTTAACTCAAGTCATTGATAATGAGGAGCGTGTTATCGCATATGCAAGTAGGAGTTTATCTCGTACTGAAAGAAATTATAGTACCACGGAAAGAGAACTTTTAGCTTTGATTTTCAGCATCGATAAATTTCGTCCATACATTGAGGGAGTACGTTTCAATGCTATTGTTGATCATTACTCACTTCTGTGGCTGAACAACATAAAAAACCCTACAGGTAAACTGGCCAGATGGGCTGTAAGGTTAAGAACACACAGCTTTGACCTAATCCACAGAAAGGGTAGTTCCCATGTCATTCCAGATGCTCTATCCCGTATTCCTCCGGTAGAATCTGAACATCATGTTGAAATGAAGCAGGACATTTGTAGCATTGAAATCGATGCAGAACGTATTGATCCATGGTATGATAACATGCGTTCCAAAATTCTGGAAAGCCCAGATGAGTATCCTCAATTTAAGGTTGAAAATGATCTGATTTTTAAGTTCTTACCTCACAACCTACCTCTTGAAGTAAATTTACCAGAATGGAAATACTTAGTTCCTAAGCCTCAAAGGGCTGAGGTGATTAGATCACTTCACGATCCTCCTTTAGCTTCTCATTTTGGTTTTTATAAAACGTTGAACCGCGTTAAAGAACATTATTACTGGCCAAAAATGCGCCAAGATATATTGAGATATGTTAGAGCTTGTAGAGTCTGTGGCTCACAAAAAATGCCTAACACTAAGAGTATGGGACTAATGGGTAAAGAGAAAACGGTTCATTGGCCTTTCCAAATAATCGGTCTAGATTTTGTAGGTCCTTTACCTCTGTCAAAAAACAAAAATAGATGGCTTCTTGTAGTATCTGATTTTTTCTCTAAATATAGTTTTTTGTTTCCTTTAAGAGATGCTAAAGCAAATAAAGTTGAAAAAATCTTGGAAAATGAGATATTTTTGAAATTCGGAGTACCCGAATATATAATTTGTGACAATGGTCCTCAACTTGCTGGAAAAACCTTTAAGAAAATTTGTGAGAAATATGAGGTAAAGAAAATATGGTACAATGCGGTGTACTCGCCACAGTGCAATTTTGTGGAGAGAAATAATAGAACGATAGAAACTGCCATACGCTGTTATGTTGATGAACACCAAAATTGGGATTTAGAAGTTCATAAAATTCAGCAAGCTATAAATACGGCGAAACATGAAAGTACAGGTTTTACTCCTGCTTTTCTGGTATTTGGTAGGCATGTTCCTATTTCAGGAAATTTTTATAAAGATGATCGCTCAAGTAAAATTGATGATTTTGAGATTCTTCCGGGGGACCGGAATTCATATGCAAGAAATCTTGAAGGCCTGCACGCGGTTTTCGCGGATGTGAGAGGGAAACTTCATTCTGCGTATGAACGCAATCGCAAATCTTATAACCTACGAAAAAGGGACTTTTCATTCGGTGTCGGCGACATGGTATGGCATAGAAAAAAGATTCAGTCTAAAGGCGCCGACAGGTTTTCAGCTAAGTTAGTTCCCAGATTTATTTTGTCCACTATTCATACCAAATATTCTAACCTTGTCTATGGTCTTACAGATGTAGCCACCGGTGCCAAAGTTGGCAAGTGGCACATAAAGGATTTAAAAGCCTATCAAGGCCCAGATGACATTTTCGACTCGGATGGTGATGAATCTGAAGGTTCTTCATCGGATTAGTTTTTTTTGTGAGAGTAGCTACTCAATTATTCAAATATCCAGTTATTCAAGTATTTATTTGAGTACTTGAACGTATTTTGTGTTATTTGTTACAAGGTAACACTGATTATTCCTAAGAAGGTTTAAATGTAGTTTTTTATTTTTTATTTTAAATTCTTGTCAAAAGATGACCATGATGATTAGATCATACACATTGACAAATTTCAAAAACTTTCCTTGATTTTGGCCAAAATATTGTCTAGATATTTTAGATATTTCCCCCTTACCACACCATGCATTTATTTTTATGCCCGTTGTTGGTAAATTTACCATATCATTCAGCAAATTCACATAGTTTTTTTGTGCGAAAATTATTAGTGTTCGTTTTGGAAGACATTAACGGATTGACATTTTTCCTGATTGTTCAGCTTACTAGAATTTGACCTACCGATTTTGTCTCCTTTAAAGGGCGTGTGATACGCGATAGATATCAGACCATAAACGAACCCAACATAATACATTCCCTCAAAAATCTCTTGTGAAAGTTGAAATTATCCTTAAGAACATAAGTAGTATAAAGTTAACGTAGATAATCGTTAATAGCTTTGAGCTTGTAAATTTTGTATATATAAATATAAAAAAAAACACAGTTGATGCAAAAATAGTATGTCACAACACCCTATTTTTCCTTTTACGAGGGGGGTAGTGTAGCGTTTTTATTTACCAGTACTAAAATTCATGAAACGCCACTGGCAGGTAAAGTCAGTCCTGTGTTGCATTTCCATCAATTTATTTCATTATTCATTAGATGGTCTAAATCTATGCAACCAACATCACTCTTCTTCTCGTTTTTGGTTAAACTGTGTACATGCCTTGTCGCCGACGTCGGGTGTTGTCGGCCGCGCTCGTAACTATCGTTGCAAATGATTTTTGTAATCAAAGTTTCATAATAATTAGCCTGATAATAAGGAAATTACCCTTTTTTTGTTATTTTATAAAATATTGATTCCTGAGTACCAATAAGCAAACATCCGTGATTGAATAAAATTATGAATAAAATAAAAAGAAGACTTAGAAAAATGAGCGACAAGTGACAAGTGGAGCATTTCTTTCGGTTCAACTCGATTCAGCTCGAGATCTCGATTTACTTTTCTGAAGGAGTAGGATTGATTTCCGGAAAAGAAGGTGACATCTTGTTCTTTTTGATGGCTCGTGGAAGGCGGTATAATTTCGATGGCCTTTAAGTAATTCCATTGAATTTCTTCATGAAATAGTGAAGTTTCATGAGGATTGTGAGTCCTCGAAGTAGAGTGTAGTGGTGCAATCTAATGTAAGTGCCTGATAGACTGCTGTGCACGGTTTTCACATGGTTTCTTGAGCCAATGCATTCTGGCATTCCTTTTAGACAACGGCCATGCCGGTTAATTTTTTTTGTCCATGCTATTGGTGGTTTCGGCTGCCTTTTTTCAAAATAGGAGCCTCCTATATACAGGGGTAAGTCATTCACTTCCATCAGGTAGAAAAGCAGGTCGAGATGAATGCAATTTTATAGGGCTTTCTGGGAGAGTGTGACAAGACCTCCATGCTGCAGGATATCTGCTGCCTTGATCATCTTAACAAGACCATGTCATCAGGCTGTGGCATTCTTCAAGGTGCCTCCTGTTGGAGTAACCAGTCTGTGTCAGTAGCTCACTGGTCATCACCTTCACTTTCCATGATGGCATTGGTTGTACAGCCAACCAACTAACAATGCATAACAATCCTGATTCCCAATTTGTCACCCTGCATAAATTGGTTAAATTGGTTCAGCAGCTGTCAAGACATCTCTACAAGCCACTTGTCAGGATGGATTAGTAAGAAATGCAGTCATGTCATTTTTTTTTATATCTATTTTGTTTACCACTACTTTGACATATTCCCCCTAAGAAGCTGAATTTAAAGAAAAATTACTCCCTAAACTTCAATTCATATCAACATTATTATTTGTCCTCCATTTGAATATTATGTGACAGCAAAAATTCATGAATTTTTCCTGCGGATTTTATATTGAACATCATGATGTGTGACATGTTTTGATTCAATGATCTATCATAAATTGAGTTGTACTATTTATATGTTAACATATCAACATGGTTTCTTTGTGGACCTAGTCACATAGTCAAAGTGACATTGTTTTCTTTGGTGGTTTGAATCATATAGTATTGGTTACTTATATTTCAATATTTTATGCATATATTATTTTCATGTAAAGTGTCATTCATAGAGGGGATATTAAATTGTAGATATTTCATGGGAAATCTTGTTTCATTTCACTGATTATCTCTCAGCACACCTGCAGTGAAAATTAATCAAATTCTAGCTCAAGTTTTTCTGAATTTTTCTGATTAAATAAAATTCAGTGGCGTCCAAGATAATTGAGAATAACAGGTGAGACATCTTTAGACTTAGATCCATGCCCAAGTGCTTCTGACATAGAGCTGTCGTGCTGTATAACCTTTTGGGAGAAAAAAACTGTTATAGTATTCTGTATTTTGAAATTTTTAAACAAAGTGTCACTGACTATGGATGAATTTATTTTTCAGAAGTTTCAGAAAGTTAAATTCTAAACGCAGTGACATTCTGGGAAAGTAATGATTACACTCTTTCTCATAGATACCTATCCTAATAATTCATACATTTTCAAGGAGAGAGAGTCCTAAAAAGTCACTAAAATAAATATTCAACATTTTCAAGTTTTTTGCAGGAAGGTATAGGTATGGAAAACAGCTTCCGGCTCATCCGACTAATGACATTTTTTATTTGAAAACAATTCAGTGTTAAATTGCATAATGGAGCTTACCTGGTGCTTGATTTTCACCATGTATTCTAAGATGGTGAATGATATCTTCCACATTTAGTCCACAATACATGCATAGCCCCTGCTTATCTTCCTCACTATCATGGGAAACATCTATCAGAAACAAAAATCAAGATATTTATCTGGCAAGAGATATTTCGAAATTTGATGATGCTACACACTACACAAGGAAAAATGAAAATGCTTAGATTTATCTGAAAATGTATTGCACATTATTAGTTATGGAAACAAAGGAGACACAATTCAATATTCTCTAAAATGCACATGTTCTTCAAATTTTGTGAGAAATATTTTTTCAATTATAAACTAGTAATAAAATCACAAGAAAAAGAAGAAAGATAGGAATACCGACAAGAGACAGAAATGTTGTATTTTTAGTGGGTTTATCTGAATATTTAAGAAGAACCCCCTCTACCTCAGGCATGCATTATGTTCCAAGAACATTATAGGGATTCCCTCTTGTGCGTATCTGTTTCACCAGAAGGATGATACCAATCTTATTGCCGAATCAGTTGAAATAACTAACTAACCAATAATCACAAAATCAATGAAGAATTCAAGCTTTTTCAGAATTACAATAGAATCTTACCAACATTATTCGATAAATGTTCCATATTGAGATGACTTTCCAAATCGTCAACTAATAAATCACAGATGTTGCATACCACACCATGCCAAACATCATCACTGGTTTGGTGATGTCCCTCATTGGCCATTGAACATACTTCACTAGCTGCTGCAGAATTCGTACAGCTATTGATCTCAACAAGTATTGACCTTTCTGAAAGATTAGGGAGTACAAGAACACATTAACATTTAACCATAATCAACCACGAATTAGTGGACATGTAGTAACTGACGCATGCTCAGTTTACACTAACTTACTACATGTAGGTATGTAGAGAATGTCCCAAATTAGCGGGCCATCATGGGGAACTCGGTAACGGGTAGAGATACAGGGTCGGTCAAATTAGGGAAGTATATTTATAACAATAATCTGCAAAAAATATTTGAAAAGTTTTTTGGTTCTTGAGATATTTAGAAAAAACAAAATTTTAGATTTTCGATTTCTATTCTTTATTGGCTTTATTATACTACCAAAAAAAGGAAGACACTTTCTCACATCTGTTTTTCATGCTCTATAACTTAGGAGTATAGAATTTGTAATACGACGTTTCAACTTTTTTTCTTTAATACAGACCTGGATTTTTCTTTTCATTTTTTTACTCGCCTGGTGAAACTCAATACGTTGATGTATACCTCAATTGCAGTTTCGAAGTATCAAGAAAAAAAATAGTTGATGGTCCATGATGGCGGCCCTCTAGTTATGAAACGTCGTATCACAAATTCTATACTGCCAAGCTATAGAGCATGAAAAACAGCTGTGAGAAAGTGTCTTCCTTTTTTTGGTATTTATTATAATAAGGTCAATAAAAAATAAAAATGATAATTCTGAAATTTGGTTTTTTTAATATCTCAAGAACCAAAAATGTTTTCAAATATTTTTTTGCAGCATATTATATTGTGTATTTAAATACACAACTTTTTTCTTATTTAACCGACCCTGTATTTCTGACCGTTCTCAAGTTCCCCATGTTGACCCGCGAATTTGGGACACCCGCCTGCACATTAGTACACGGGAAGATTCAAAAGTACCTAACGTGAAATATTTAAAGAGGCAATTCTTGAGTAAATTTTGAGAAAAAAACTCCATATGAACGCATGTCCAAATGTCTCAAATTCTGAGTTACAGAATGGTAAATTTTTAAAAATTTATATTTTTTTAGAATATCTATGTTATCACTCTAGATATTTCAATTCAATTTGTAACCAGCTACTATGGATTAGGAAACATATTCTGGTTTGAAACATTTTTTATATTTCTTCCAGTGGCGTTCGTGAGGGATTGGAATCGAATATTTACAAAGAAAATTATGGGACACCATTGGTTTTTCTGATAAAAATTAATTGAATAATTACCATTCTCTTCTGAGCAAATATTAATGCAAATGAAAGTATCTTATCTGTTTTACACGTCGCACGAAAAAAAAATCAAGTGATGAATTTTGCGTGAAAGGGAATTGTATTATAATTTTTTTCACAGGAAAAACCTGTGGGGAGCCATATTTTCCTTTGAAAATATTTAGTTCCAATCCCGTACAAGCGCCACTAAAAGAAATGAAAATAGATATTATGAAAAAAATACATTTGTATGAAAATTTTACCACCCTGCATCTCTAGACAATAATAATTTAGATTGAGTTATCAGAAAATTGTAGTCGACTTGTACAATGAATTTGTAGGAGAAAATCAAGAAATTCAAATGTTGACAATTTTTCATCCTTCAAGAAACTTTTAGATCTGTTCTCATTGCAGAAGATTCAGTATGATTATGAGGTATCTGTTTTATGAGAAAGGATGATACCAATATTATTCTCGGATTAGTTGGAATTAATAAACCAACCAATTATGATAAATAGCAAATGAAACTTACCAACATCATTTGATAAATGTTCTATATTAAGATGACTTTCCAAATCGTTAATAGATACCATACCATGGCAAACATCATCACTGGTTTGGTGATTCCTCTCATTAGACAGTAAATCTACTTCACCAGCTGCTGCAGAATTCAAACAGCTATTGCTCTCAACAAGTATTGACCTTCCTGAAAGATAAGAGAGTACAAGAACATATTGAACAATATTCAACCAGGAATTAGTATACATGTACTTAGTAATAGACGCATGATCAGTTCACAGTATACCTTACTACAAGTACACAGGGGGAATCAAAAGTAACATAAAATATTCAGAGAGGTGATTCTTGGGCGAATTTTAACAAAATATATTTTTTTCTTATAATATAATATGCATTGAGAATCATATTCTGATGAAGTAAAACATTTTCTTCATCTCCTCCAGTGGCGTTCATGCGGGATTGGAATTGAATATTTTCTAATGAAATTATGGTAAGCCACACTGGTTTTTCTTACAAAAGTATTTCAATAAGTACCATTCACTTCCAGCCAAATTTTATCTCTAAATTTCAATGGAGTCGATCATTCCATTTCAGATATTAATGCACATAAATGTTTTTCTCTTTTTTACGCGTCAAACAAAAGAAAATTGAGAAGAAGAAGAAGAAGTTTGCTCAGAAGTGAATAATGTCAGAATTTTTTTTTACGAGATAAACCAGTGGCGAGAAAAATATTTCTTTATACATATTCAGTTCTAATCCTGCACAAACGCCACTATCTGTGTAACAAATTCAATGAAAATATCTAGAGTGGTGACATAGATATTATTTCCGGATTATCAATTTATGCTCGCGGGAGATTCGGTATGAAAATTTTATACCAAAACTTACTTTAAATGAAAATTCAATTTTTGACATACTTAGGTGACATATTATTTTTAGGTGCCCTGTGCTATAGTAAAATGTGGTTTAAATAATTAAATGAAATATATGATATTCTACTCATATCACACAATTTTATAGAACTAGCGGAAAGGGAATGAAATTTAAGTAGGTAGGTATACATACTTCTATCGCGGATTTGATATCAAATATTTTGATTTCCCCATATGCTCTAGTGAAATGTGGTTTGAATAATTGAACAGAGAAGCAAATATTCTACCAGAATCAAATAATTTCATAGTACTAGAGGAAAGGGAAAAAAAGTTAAGGTCTCCTTCTATTGGACGCTAATGAATTTTCATAAACATGTCAAGTATTCAACTGATTTGGTGAAAAATTCTGGCCTAAAACCTGAACAAGAAGATCTGTTTAAGAACATGAGCAATATTCTTTGTGAAACTATTCCATATTTCACCAATAATTCCAGTGTGGAAAAGAACAAAATGGTGTCGAAGTATTACCATTATTTCATGAAGCATAGACATTTAATGAAAAAAACAATGGATCCTTACCTTACTCGCCATTGAGGAGAAATGACATAGAAAAGGAATTTCTAATTCATTTGAAATTTGTAACAGATAATAACATGTCCTATAATTGAATTATAAATAAATAGTATCTATCAAATAGTTATTTATGTAATAAGGATCATAAAGACGATCATTATGGTACAAGTCGTGAATGTTATCGGGCGAGGCGTAGCCTCGTATTACATACAAAATTTTATCTGATGGCATTTATATCAATACATTTTCGAAAAATTAAAAACTGCATTTTCGACATGTCACAATGACAACTATTTTTAAAGGAGTAAGTATTGTGTAGTTTCAAATATTAGTAGGTGAGTGAGCTGTGCTTTGCCATTATATTAATATTACAAATTGTAGTAATTGTTCTTTTACCATTTATAATAAATAGTTTTGTACATATTTATGCATTTTGAATAAACTTTTTTGATCAAACCATTACATGTTTTCCTTATAGAATTTCATTATGGTACTTAGTCCCATAATGAGCTTCCTTATGTCATCAAAATTGAGTGACATAACATTGTCATTATGACATGCCATCAGATAAAATACTTTACGCTACTAAGTTTATGACAGCTGTCAAGCCAGAGGGAAATCTCTACTTATTAATTTTCCTCTACACAGGGAAATTTCCTGAAGAAATTAGGTTATTATCATAGCAACATGTCAAAATGCAGGCATCTGAATGGCTAAAATTGACTGGTATAGAATGTTTAGTACTATTTTTACCTAAGCCCCACTGACCTTAGAATTTTTCCAGCTTACCCTCTTTCAGTGATTTTAATCATCTTTAGAAACACATGAATACTAATTAAATTACAAGTATTTCAATAACACAGAACAAAATAAAAAAGAAACATATTTACTATGCTTCCTGAACAATATTCTTTTCTTTAGACACTAATTGAGTTTGTAGGTAGGAGAAAAAAAACAAGAAATTCAAATTTTCATATTTTTTTATCTTTTCATAGTTTTCATAAGGAACTTTTAGATCTGCTCTCCTTGCAGATGATGCAGTGCAACACTACTGAAATTCAGAAATATGGGTATGAGGTATCTGTCTCACATACCAGAAGTATGATACTAATATTATTCCCAGATCAGTTGAAATTAATAAATCAATCACAAAATCAATGAAGAATTGAAACTGTTCCAAAATAACAAATGAAACTTACCAACATTATTCCATAAATGTTCTATATTAAGATGACTTTCCAAATCATCATCAATGGTTTGGTGATTCCCCTCATTAGACAGTAAACCAACTCCACCAGCTGCTGCAGAATTTGGACATCTATTGATCTCAACAAGTATTGACCTTTCTGAAATATTAGGGAGAAATTAGTGTGGACTATAGTTCAAGAAAAGCAAAGATAATTACTGAACATACATTCTTCAAATCTTCAACCACTCAAAACAATTTT